GTCAATGAAATCATAATGAGCAGAAGAAGATGCATCTAAATCAGACTTCTCCATAACGAATCCGTGCAGTGTAAATATAAACACAAGATCGAACACTTAGTATACGTCAAGTGTAGGCTTTGTTACCAATTGAAAGAATTCAATGCCTCCGAATTCGTTAAAATAATATGAATCGATATAAACTCAGAGATTTGTTTCAAACAATATACAAAAACTTGTGTTGAGAAAGATTATGCAGCGGAATATAAATGACACAAGTTTCAAATCATTACCCACAAGTATATAACTTGTGGATGGAGCCTTCATAGGCCAAAAACAATATTCAAAAGAATACTAATGAAAAATCAAGATCTTCTCTTCTAAGAAGAAATCACAAGATGATTTCTTCGTAAACCAATTCCTAGACTCTATGATGAGATTGCTTAGAAGTACTCTAGGAATATAAATCAGTATTCAATGAGATTGAATACAAAAGACACTCAATTATGTAGTGAGAAATCCATAAAGAAAATAGGGTGTTGGTAAAGGTGTTCCAACACCCGCAACTCTATGCTCTCGACTCTCTGCAGAAAATGTGAGAAATGAACCGAGTTATTCTCCTATTTATAGAGTCCAAGAGCTCCTTGCCCTGCACGAAAGTAACACACGAGGAGAGATAATGGGTTAGTGGGATAATGGGTTAGTGGATTAATTAAACAGATGCTTAAATAACTACCCACTAAGCTAAAAATAACCGCCCACTAGCTCTAAATAATAAATCCGAATTTCAAATAATAAATCCTGTAATAATAATAATAATTTCGAAAGAATTTCAAAAACAATTAAATTATATTTGACTCAAAAGTCAAATATTCAACAGTATCCCACCACGTAGTCTACTCTTCGGAAGTCTCAACAGTGTTAATATAATCTTCACCACTGATAATGCCTGTATTTTTACGGAAAAGATCGTGCAAAGTTTCTTCCAGTGTCAAAGTCGTTCGTTGTCCGAATAAAATTATGAAGGAGACTACATGCCATTACGATCCTAATCTGAACTTTGATGGGGTAATATGGAGGACTACGTAATATGTCCTATCTTGATTTCTAAAGCCCAAATGCCCGCTCGATGATATTTCTTGCCTTTGCATGTATCATATTAAAAAATTCTATAAAGTTTTCTAGGTGCACTTGGAGCTTGCCCATATGCAACGAGGTGGTATTTACAATCTCTGTACGGTGCCAAAAATTCCTCCTCGTTGGCATAACCGTTATCAACCAAGTAGTGATTACATGTAAAGGTGAAGGATTTACTACAGTTGGAAATGACTAGTTTGGTTCTTATATAAGGAAAAGGTAACTATTTTTTTAATACTTTGGTACTCTACAAATAATGACTTACCCGTGGGGACCCGTAGACCATTGTCTCAAGTAACTGCATCTCAAAGTATTCTGGTGTCAGTTGCAGAGCCTTCCATTACGGTAAGTAAGTATATAAAGTTCATGTTATCATCGCAAACAGCTAGGACATTGATCGACACATTACCTTTGCGATTCTTATATCTTGGTTTATCAAGAAAAAGAATGCGGCATCCTATGTACGTCCTATCTAGTGCACCAAGACAACTGTAACAAATGTAACATTATATGGTCGTTATTTAAACAAATTACAGTTGTGTAAGACAACATTGACATTGTATGTTATTTATGGTTACTTTAAAGTGCTCATTTTCACAATTTTCACCAACGGGTTTCGGTGTAATCAAAAGCATTTCGTGTAACTTTAGCAAAGCGAGAAGGACGCGCTTAAAGTGCTTGCTTACAGTGTATCCAGATCTGTTGAAATGACTCCAAGCAACAACCTTTTTTTGTGTGATGGGCTAAAATTTCAAGAAACATTGCAACTTGCTCGAGTATAGAGACATTTCTATTTGCTTTAAGACCACCAACATTTTCTAAAACGGAACACAAGCGGTAGAAAGTTTGTATGTTCATTCTAAGATTATCACGACATGTAACATCGTTCAAACCAACTATTGTATGCAAATACTCGAGTCTCGAAGATGTTCTTCCTACCAAACTATAAGTTCGGGTGTTATTGTGCGAGTGAGTCAAACGACGATGGTTATTTTGAGTAAAAATGTGCATGGTCATTAAGAAAAACAGCCTGAGATTAAACATGAGTTGGTCCAACACAACTACATCTTTTTCTTGTTTTGAAAAATCCATCGAACACCAACAATTTCCTACAGTAATTAATACAAGTACCTAATATCATTTTCTGTAGAATAGATACTAATAAACCGCACCATTTTCAATAACGGGTAAATTGAATATTTTAAGATTGCCTAAATATTCAACTATACTATAATATTCACTAAAGATAAGCTCAATATTAAGCTGAATATTACAGTGTAATTAAATAATAAGAATCTGAATATACAACCCTTTAAAAGACATATTTTTCACAAATAATTTGTAAGAAAAGACAAATGACATTTTTCCCCTATTACAATTCATCTTTTCACATCACTTGCATTTCATCAGTTCAATATAGTAGTACAAATTATAATATTGCTTCAACTTAGGTATCATACACAAGCAAATACAAGTCATAAAAATTTATTTGTGGGACATTTGTTTTGAAATAGCAGACACAAAGTAGGTGAACACAACTTCTTTGGCTAACAGATCCCAACACAAGAAGATATACAAAGAATCCCACCATATTAAATCACCGATGTTTTAAAAATTAATATTCAAGTACATACCTGTTAGTTTTGAATAATCTTAAGCTAGCAGATTCAACGATTTTTGGGGGAAAATATTGAAGATGATAACCTAATACTTGTGAAATTATGTTTTCAAAACACGAAACCCTAAGTTTCTCAAGGAAACTGAAGGGCTTACAACATACTAAGCTGAAAAACCAGCAAAGAAGAAGTAGGAATTGAAAATTACCAGAAGTTGTACTTGAATCTTCTATTGAAGCTCTTACGCCTGTAACTCTTCGTCTTGGCAACGATCTGCAAAACTACAAGGTATAGCGGTGAAATTGAAGGGATTAGGTTGAAATTAGTGAATTAACTAACGATTCACAACGATTCGAAAGATGATGAAAGAGTTCATTCTTACCTAGCAAATCTAGGGCTCAAGCTGCAAAAGGGGCAAATCTGATGAAATCGAGTATTCATATGTAATAAATTTGTAATTTTTGTATGATGTAAGGGCATTTTCGACAATTCAGTTGGTGTAAGATGGTGGGAGTATTTCTCGGATAAATTGTCAAGTCAATTTTGTCTTGACAACTAATATTTCAATTGGCTGATAAAAATGGTGGGGCCATTTGTCAATGTTTGACAAAACATACAAACCAAATGTTGTACTGCTAAGTACAATTGATTCCATCATAGCTTATCATACCAACCAAAAGAGCCCTAAGTGGTGTTATTATCAATATCCTATATTGGAATTCGGTAAAGTGTAGTACATGTACTCTAACAGTTTGAATTTATTTGAGGTTTTGAATTCAAAATAGTGGATTTGTTATAAACGTACTAGCTTATCTATTTATATCTGTTTCTGGCCCATATTTTGCGCAATTCAACTACAATGAAAAACTACGTAACATAATAAACACCACGCAATAAATTGGTTATATTGTTGCATATACAAATTGTGTTTTTCTTTCTTTCAAAATTAAGCATTGTATTCAAATCTGGCTGGAAATAATTTGAAAAACACAATTTGTACATCCAACAGTATGACCAATTTACTGCGTGGTGTTTATTCTGCTATGCAGTTTTCGGCATTATTCTTTTTAAATAAAAACGTCTATTTAGAAAATTTTGACCTTGTGGTGTTGGTCTCGGTGTGGACGAAGAAGTATGTTGATGATGGGATTTTCTCGAGTTAGTGGAGGCGTGATTTTTGGGTTATAATTATGCAAGATATTACAGTGAAACTTCTTTTGGGCGGGTTCCCAAAAGAAAAAATTAATATCCCGTAATAGTCAATTTGGGTATATTATGTATTTTGGTTCTAATAGGTTTACCAATTATCGAATAAAAATAACAATAGTGAATTTCATTGAGAGGATGTTCTCAAATAACCCCCAAGGATAAACAGTAAATATATGGTTGGGGGTATTATGGTCAAATCATGTAGTTGTAACTTGAAATTATATTGTAGTCGAAAACAATCGATGGATGAAATTGAATTCAATAGAAAATGCATAGGACTAATTATAATTTGAAGTGAAAATAAAAATAATTTTTTATCAAGACATAATTGTAGCTTTTAAATAAGAGTTTGTTTGTTTGTTTGACATTATTTATTTTTTTTCGTTTAATAGATGAGTATGCAATAAAGTAAAACATATCACCTATCTATCTACACAAATAAAAGTCCGACGCCTGCTGCTTCCTAGCCATCTTTAGTGAACAAACTATTATAAATATTCATTGTTGTCAACTTCCCTTCCCAAATCTTTAAATAGTATACAGAAAATAATATAATTTATTAAGAGAAAACGAGATAACTTTTTTTTTTTTTTTTTTTTTTTTTGCAGCAGAGAAAAGGTGATAACTAAGAAGGAAAGAGTGGAAGATGCAGAAGAGACTCCTCACCTTCACATGGTTGATTGCATTATGTGGTTCGTTCCCTTTTACTATATTTTAATTGTTCAGGTTTGATTAATTTCTAATCACTACAACATTTATTGCTTTAAACGACGGACAAAAACCGTCGGGAAAGTGGAAAAAACCGTCGGCAATACTAGTCTTGACGCTTATGAACCATCAGAAAACCGTCAAGAAAAAAGGTGTCGTATATACTTTTCTATGTAAAAAAATGGTCAAGAAAAGATTTTTCCCGACCCTTTAAAACCGTCGGGAATACTAATATATATATATATATATATATATATATATATATATATATATATATATATATATATATATATTTTCTCTGAATATCTATTTACTATAAGATAGTTTGATGCTAAAATCTGTAACAAATACTCAACAGCAAAGAAACCTATTTATCATTAACAGTAACAGTTCAAGATAACAAATTACATTCAGAGTATATTTTTTCAAAACAACATCATTATTTCACGCTCTCTACAACATGAATTCTTTTATTTTTTTTAATAATACAATATCCCAAATAAAGCCTATCTTAGAAATAACAGCCAAGATGTGCTGTCACCCAAAAGTCTTGGTCACTAGGATCTTCACCATTTATGTATGTACCAAAATACCTGTAATCACCAAAATAAACCTTGTGATGAAATATCAACTTCAATGCATCTTAACCTGCATAAAACTCAAAGTTGCCAAACCCTGCACATCTATACCATGATAAACGATTAAGCAGTAATATTTAAACCAAGCAGAGTTCTTAGGAAACAATAAATGGTGCAGAGGATTACATTAGATCCTAAACTGTTTTAGTTGTTTTAATTTATCAGCATAGTAAAATGAAAGGGTTCGGTTACCTCTCTTTTCCCCGTAGCCTATTTACGAATAGGAATCAAGAAATAATCACAAAATTTATAACAACGTAATATATATTATCACATTCCTTGCTAAATGGATTGCATTGGCATTCTATCCATGATCAGTTCAAGGATAAACATAGGGCATCAAATTACATAAAGCTCAACCCAAACTCAACCATCCACATAAATGTTGAAACGTAACTAAGCAGTTTCACTACTCTCAAACGAACAAATATGCTACAAATAACAATCAGGTTCTCCGAAATGAAACTAAGAAATGTAACTAAGCAGTTCCAAATGAAAATACAAAAAGAGTGCAAGACAATAAATGCATAATAGAAGTGATGTATAATAGAATAAAAGAGGTACACTTGTATACCCTTCAACAACCGCCTTTTCGGTTACCCTTGAAAGCAATAACCAACTACTTACTTGAATCATCAAAAGTTTCTGAAGAATACAAAACAACATAAAAAATAGTTAGATGATTAATAAATAAATGAAGATGATTGCATGTAGTTAGAGAGCACAGCTCCTAAGTACTGAAATCTAAGAATTTAACACAAGTTTATGATACAATTCCAGCCATTTTCAATGAATGAAAGCGAAGAGTTTTGGTGCAGACATATTTTACTATTGCCTAGGTGAAATCGGAGTGCCAACTACTTTCAATTTGTACTACCGCTAAAATCAATAGTACACTTGAAAAGGGATAAGACCTTTGAAGCTCAAATGGAGAAAAATAAAACTACCTGAATATGTTAGCAGAGTTTATCGATGTTAAAGCCAGCCACCATCTCGTGTACATGCCTGCATATTATTGAATCTCTTGTATTATACTTGGTTCCAATGGAGAGGGTTTAAAAAGAAAATATATGTCCATACAACTTTTAAAGGTTTAATTTGGAGACTTTTCACTCACCGAACTAAGCATGGTTCAAAACAACTTTTAACCCCTCGGCAGCAGCTTGCATTAGGAATAGCATTGGAACATCACATCATGAGCTAACCTAGAGAAAATAAAGTGAATTTCATCACTCACCCATAACCAATCTTGATGGTTAATGATTTAAGCCTTATGGTTTATGATTTAAGCTTCCCATCAAAATATAACACCATAATCTGAAAGAGCATGTATCATAATTTAATACAATCATATGGAAAATCTCAAATTAAACAGAGCTCATCCAAAGAATGGGGGAAAATCTCAAATTAAACTAACCTAAAATTTTGACAAATTCCTTAAATTCCAATAGAGTGAACAATCCTCGGTATTGATCCTGATTTTGAAAATTAACGATTCCAATATCAACAATTATAATACAATCGGAAAGTTGAAATAAAATATCCGAAATTACTCCAACAAAATTAGATGATAGATCTAACCTAAAATGGCAGCTTCATCGTCGCGGTGGAATTGAGGCGGCTGATCGTTCCCGGTTCTCCTCAGCCTTAAAGAGCCGACTCTGATCCATCGATGCGCTGCACCTCATTATTTTCCTCAACTACTTTCCTTTACTTTGATTCATTCAGTCACTTCACTTAATGTTTTGTCCGGGGGAAAAGAGATGGAGGATAGCCGGAGATAGGGGAGGAGACAGCGGAGGAGGAGGAGGAGGAGCGAGAGTGGGAGGAAATTGGAAATGTTCAACGAAAATGTAAAATAAATTGTTCTAATTAATGTGATAAATTCAGATAGTAAAATATATTATTTTTATAAACTCTTACTTGACGGTTCTAATGCGTCATAAATGTTTTGACTTTTGATAGGTGTCAAGAATACGTGTTTATACAATGGTTTTAATCCGTCATAAATGTTTTAATAAGTGTTAAGAATACATGTTTAGAAACCGTCGGGTAAATAAAGGATCGTATAAAGCCTAAATTGTTGTAGTGAATTTTTTCCCCATAAATTAGTTTACTAAGAGATTCAATGGGAGACTTACTCAAAAAAAAAAAAATGGGAGACAAATAGATAATTATCTAAAATTATATATTACAAATCCTATATGGTGAACTCGAAATCTAGTATATTTTATTTATTATTTAAGAATAGTTGACCAAGTATTATTAAAGCCCACATAAAGTTACCATTTCTAAAGAAAAAAAAATCTGTTTTTTTTTTATCATTAACAAGAAATCACTTCAGATTTCGATTCGAAAAAAATCGAAATCAAAAATTTTATTTTGATTCGGAAATATCAGAATTTGAAAAAATCCAGAAATCGTGAACAACCGGAAATCTGATATATGGGGGGATCCATGATATTTTGTTGGTTCGACAGCGGGTTTGATAATCAGTTGATTTAGTTCGGTTTAGGTTTTTCCTAGTTCAAATTTTCGAACTCATCATCCGATTCCAATGCATAATGTTTTGAATCTGGAACAAATATTTTCATTCTGATATCTGATAATCCGTCACGGCTTTTTCAAAAAAAAAAAAAAAAGAAATTGAATTATAATTAGAGTGATATATTTTTATTTTTGATTCAGCCCAATTTTGATATCCGATTGTGAATTTAAATTGATATAAGGGATCAAAAATAAGAATTAAATTAACACTGAAATGTTAAATAGATGGCATGGCCAATGTTTTATTTGGAGTTTGGGACAAAGACTTGAGGTGGACTTTTAGTGTATTCTTAGTGCTATATCTTAAAGTGAAACACATATCTAGTATATCTCTAATTAATACATGTATAAGTTTACGATATAAATATATTTTAGTTGAAAAAATATCAGAAATTTTTAAAAGTAAATCGGAACAAAAATCGAAATGTCCGAGACTTTCATATAAAATTCTAATTCCTATCCAAATTGTTTTTGAAAAAACCAGAACTTGGACTGGAAAAAGTTGTTCCAAAAAAAATATTGATCAAAACTGGCAGAATTCGGACGTTCCGTTTTAATTCCAACACCTAGGTAAAACTATAAATACATTAGTTAATATATGTAAAAATGGTGACCCTGTAATTAAATTTAAAGTAGAAAACTCATGTTTAAGCCAATATATATAGATGAAGAAAATGACAGTTTATATCTTTTGACGACTCTTTTTATTTTTTCCCCCTAATGTATCGTCAATTTATTTGAATTATTTAAGATGTTTGACAAGTTAATTTATTGTTAAAAATCAACAGGGTTGCTTGTGATAGAGGGAAAAATATGTGCGTTTAAACCAAAAGGTCCAGTTAAAAATTGTCAGCGTGAGTGTCCTAAGTTATGTCAAAATTATATGGAGATAAATCTCATTGTTATGTGGAGATAAATCTCATTGTTATGTGGAGTGTACTAAATTCCCAAGACCTCGATCACCACCAAAATCAAATGTATGGAGTTACCACAAAGGTGTTTTGCTTAAATAAATATTACCTCTAAAATATTGAAATGCTAGACTGTGTAATCAAACTAGCTATTAACTTATTATCAAATAAGTAACTTTATATCTTATTATTAGATATAAGGATAAATTAATGTTCTTTATTTATTCCATGGGCAATTTGCTAAACATTTATGAGTGCTAATTGTCTTTCAAATCGGGATAGACTAAGTTTTGCAATTTACTACAAGTTCTTTGTTTTTTTTAACATTCGCCTTCATCGCGCTACTATAACGCTACTATAACTGTTCTTTGCCAAATTTTATCCAACCCTGCTACACTCGGTCAAATCTGCTCCACCCCGCTCTCCGCCGCTGCTATCATCGAAGCTTCACCACACACATGCACATACACATAATCACACACATACACATACGATTTTGGTTACAGTCATGCATGTCCAATGTAACCTAATAATCATGACGGAAAATATGAAGAATTTTTTGGTGATGGTGATGGTGATGGTGGTGGAGATGTACACCCCAAAGATTAAGTTTATTCTTCAACTTATTTTAACTAAGGTGTAAATAAGTTGTGCAAATAAGTTTTCTAAGCTGTCTAAGGTGGTGTTTGCAAGTGATTATTTAAAAGCAAAAGTTAGTGATTATGATTTAAGTTAGTTTTAAGTGCTTATTTCTAAAAGTTGGGGGTGTTTGCAAATATTTCGGAAAATGAACTAAAATTGATAAAGCAGGGTTAGGGGTACTTTTAAAAAAATAGCTTAAAGCAGATTATTTTAAGAGAAGCAAAAGCAAAAGTTGATTTTGCAAACACCTAAAAACAGATTATAAGCAAAAAAAAACCGCAAAATCACTTTCAAAAAATATTTGCAAACACCACCTAACTCCATGTAAAATTACATGAAAAAACCACACAACCACACACATGCACATACACACACATACACATACGATTTTGGTTACATTCATGCATTTCTGATGTAACCTAATAATCATGGAAACCAAAACGGAAAATATGAAAAATTGTTTGGTGATGGTGATGGTGGTGGTGATGTTGGTGGAAATGCACGCCTCAGAGATTAAGTTTTTTTCCTCAGCTTATTTTAACTAATATGTGTAACTAAGTTGTGCAAATAAGTTTTTTAAGTTGTTTAACTCCATTTAAAATTACATGAAAGAATACATTCTAAACTTTTGCCCTTCAACGTAACTAAGCTGTGTAAATAATTTTTATAAGTCGTTTGTGTAAGTTGTGTTATATATTTACTATTTCTTTAGTTTTTTCTTTCATTTATTTTAACTAAATTGTTCTCTTTAATATAAATAAACTGCACAAATCACCGTCTCACCGTTAGACAAACTCCAAACATGAGAAAGCACAATATCTCTCATCATTCATTATATATAACAATATAACGTTCATGCTGGTGTATTAAATCAAATAAATTGTATATCTGTAGAGTGTAGGTTTTACACTCAATTATACTTTCTTACGAGAAGTTTTGTGGAATTTTATTGATATAATGGGGCTTAGTGACTAGGTTCACGTATTTTAGATACAAATTGAAGATTTGAGCATCTTGGGAAGCAAACGGTCAGTTACAAGAAAAAATCGGAGAAAAGGTTGTCACTGCCATAGGGGACCTCAGTCTCGCAGTCATAAAGAAATCTTAGACCTCAGTCTGAGAAGAAAAGAAAAGAAAAAAAACTTACTTTTGTCATAGATCGCGGTATGACTTTTTAGTACAAAATCTCATACCGTGGTCTAAAGAGTGAAATAACAAAAATCTGGATTCTCAAACCGCGCTATGAGTTTTTAGTGCAAAATCTCATCGAGAACTTAAGACGAAGGCTTGACAAATCTTCATCATAGTGCTTCTCTTATTTCTCTTTTCTACATCTATGTACTTTAATATTTTTATGATGTTTTTCGTAGAGAACATCATGAGTAGCTAAACTTTGCAGTCTAGGATTTTATCGGAACCCTATGTGGTGATTTTGAACTTATATTTCTAATATTATGCAAGTTTGATTCCCCGAGTATTTCTTCTATCTGATCTTATTTACTGCATGAATCTAGTTAATTTATGGTGCTATATGTTATTGCTAAAATTGAATCGACATATCATTTTAATAATTAGAACAGGGATACAAGAGCCTTCGAATTATTTTCATCGGATGGGTGTGTTGAATCGCATGCGATATGGTAGACATACAGATATCACCTTAGGTAGCCATTTACGAGACTTGTTAGTTGATGCTTCTTTTATAATTGGTTTGCATAGGTATCTGATGAGTTGTTTATGAATGAAAGACTTATAATACATGCGACAACGGTTATAAGTAATTTAGTGTGTCGGATTAATAATCAGAAGTCGTAACTTGCATGATAGAGGTTTAATTACATGACGAATTAGCGAACAGGGGAAGAATAAAATCGTAGGTCCTTTTTAATTGATATTTTCGTGGGTTTATTTGTTTTCTTAGTGAGTCTTATAATTTATATCGTAAAAACTTAAAAAATTTGAGTAGGTTGGATAAAAAGTATAATTTTAAGAATTCGGTATTAAGGGTTAGGTAATATAAGTTTTTCGTCTGGGATCGACATCCAACTCTGACGAGTTCACTTTTACTACTTGTTTGCGATACGTGCACTTGCGTGTTTAAGTATTTAGCCGAACAATATCTCTACCAATGTATATTACACTATTATAGTTTATCATTGAACATATTTTTATTATGCTTTGAATGGGGTTTGAACTCCGCTCCCTTCTAATGTGTGTGCCAAACCAAACCACTGGGGCAAAGCAATTATTTGGGAAATTACTTGCAAACAATATATATACCAATAACAGATAGTGTAAACTGATTATAAAAATAATGTTTAATGGATTATTAATTATCATATTCATAATTACTAAAGAATTTTAATTAAATTATTAACAAATATAATATAATAAAAAAATTAAAATAAATTGAAAGAACTTGAGCTTAATCCATTTAAATCTTACGATTCAATTCTAATATTTGAATAAATGTATATGTAAAAAAAAGGATTAAATCATATGATCTACAATTTAATTCTTACGATTTTTTCAAATTAAACCAATTATTAAAAGAGAAATTACATCATAATATTTTGAATATAGTAGTCATATATAATATTAATTTTAAAGTAAGAAAAATAATTGAATTGAGATATAATCTATTTTTGTTAAAATAAACAATATTTATATTTTTAACCAATTATCTTATGATAAAATATTCAATAATATTAATAAGTTCTTGTCAACAATTGAGGTTAATCGATTTAAATTCATT